AGAGAAGGGAAGGGAAGGGAAGGGAAGGGAAGGGAAGGGAAGGGAAGGGAAGGGAAGGGAAGGGAAGGGAAGGGAAGGGAAGGGAAGGGAAGGGAAGGAAGATTTAAAACTCCTTTTAGGAAACATAAACTCTTTTCATTTACCTTTTTTTTATTGTTTTTTTTTTTCAAGACAGGGTTTCTCTGTGTAGGCCTGGCTGTCCTGGTATCTTTGTAGACCAGGTTGGCCTCTAGCTCAAGAGATCCGCCTGCCTCTGCCTCCCAAGTGCTGGGATTAAAGGTGTGTTCCACCTCGCCCACTTTCATTTATCTTCTTTATTAATTTTTGAGGCAGGGTCTCACAATTGCAACCCTGAAACCTGCTACATATACCAGGCTAACCTCCAACTCGTAGTGATCCTCCTGCCTCTGCCTTCACCCTCATCACCAGTTCCTTACTGTGTAACGGTGACAGGTTTTCACACATCAACAGACTGAGTTCCCAAGAGCCTGTGGCAGCCACACCCCCAGTATTGCTGGTTCCAGCTAGTTAGTGTCTGAGCTGATCCTCAGTAGATTTTGAAAGTTTCACTGCTAAGGGGAAGGTTCGCATTTTCCAGTGCAGGAGCAACTGTGCTCTGGCAAGGGGCCAGAAGGCTAATCAACAGAGCTTGGGGAATGTCAACACCACCTGAAGCTAAGACCCGACACATTCTTGCTCTGAATCCCTGAGCCACACCACAATCTCTATGCTGTGACACCGAATGAAAGACCACAACCAAGAAGCAGAGTGAGAACCTTGACAATAGATCTTAGAACAGAAAAAGACATCTAGAGTGAACTGTCATGATCCAACCCAATGCCCTAAAAATGCAGTCACAGCCAGACTGGCAGGATGCCATCTGTGGGACATGGGCTCCTTGGAGTGGTGGCAAAATCTTTTGTGTGACACGAGAATGGTACTTGGCAACCCCAAGAACTCACTGCACCCTGTCCCACCTTCCTTACAAAGCCTGCCTAGAACCTCTCAGGGAAGCCATAAGCATTCCCACCTAGTAGGAAAAAGGGTTTTAGGAATAATGGTCACCTGTAGTTCAAACAATGAGAAACTGTATTTCTCAAAGGAATAGGAGCTCTTCTGTAAGAGGTGCAGGTTCTTCTCAAGTCTCTAAGTCAGGACAGTCTGTAATTGGGGAAGAAGTCAATCATATTTGCCTCCAATTGTGGCCATTTTTGTCTTCTGAGTCCCCTGTATACAGCTAGTAACTTCCCACTATGTTTTGTGCCCCCACTATTTAAAGTTGTCTTTTTTTTTTTTTTTTTTTTTGGTTTTTTTCAAGACAGGGTTTCTCTGTATTATTTTGGAGGCTGTCCTGGAACTCACTCTGGCTGGCCTCGAACTCACAGAGATCCGCCTGACTCTGCCTCCCGAGTGCTGGGATTGAAGGCGTGTGCCACCAATGCCCGGCTTAAAGTTGTCTTAAGAGAAGTGTGGGGCATTTAGTGATAGTAACCGCTCAAAACATGCTACCCTTAATTCTAAAGGTAGTTGGTATATTTCTAAAAGAGTTATATACTATAAATCATTGCTTTAAGATGTTTTATTTTTGAGTGTTTTCATATATGCATACATACATAGAGAGACAGATTCACCATGTGCATGCAGTGCCCTCAGAGGCCAGGAGAGGGCACCAGATCCACAGGAACTGCAGTTACAGACAGTTGTGAGCCACCGTGTGTGCGCTACAAACTGAACCCAAGACCTTTGCAAGAGCAGCAAGTGCTCTTAACAGAGCCATTGCTCTAGCCTCAGAAATTAACATTCTAAGGCAGGTAATTCAGTGGGGTTTGATATATTCACATGGGTGTGACCATCACCTCCACCTAATTTTTGTAATGATCTTGTTCTTAATTTTAAAACAAGGTGTGTTTATACGCCTTTGTGCACATGCACGTGTGAATGCAGTGTCCACAGATGCCAGTGGATTCTTTGGAGCTGGAGTTGTAGGCAGTTTGCAAGCTGGGAACATGGTGCAATATGGGTGCTAGGAACCAAACTTAGGTTTCCTGCAAGAGCGGTACATGCTCTTAACTGCTGAGCCATCTCTCCAGCCCCACCACTACGTAATCCTACAGGATTTTCATCATCTCAAAGACAGCCCTTATACATTAGCACTGAGCCCCTATGTCTTAGTTTGGGTTTCTATTGCTGTGAAGAGACACCATGACCATGGCAACTCGTATAAAGGGAAACGTTTAATTGGGGTGGCTCACTTACAGTTTCAGAGGGTCAGTCCATTATCGTCATGACAGGCAGACATGGTGCTGGAGCTGAGAGTGCTACATCTTGCAGACAACAGGAAGTTGACTGTCACACTGAAGGAAACTTGAGCAAAAGAAACCTAAAAGCAGAGGCCACACCTCCTAACAGTGCCACTCCCTTTGGGGGACATTTTATTTCAAACCACATCACTTGGCTTCTGTGAATAGTGAAGCAAAAAATAGAGATGTACAAGTATCTCTCTAGTGTGCTTAGGCACATTTGGGTTCACATCCAGGAGTATAGTTGGATAACACAGTAATTATAGCAAATAAACCCTTTCCCATGCCTTGGCCATGGTGTTTTATCACAGCAACAGCCAGCAAACTAAGGCAGCAGGCTAGTGGGAACAAATAAGAGGAAAAACCCAAGATTTTTACATAGGAAACTTGAATCCCATTATTGTTTTCATCTCATTTGTCAATTATTGACTTTAGTACTCCTCAGAAAGTCCTCTAAAGCATCTATCTCCTGCAGTGCTACTTGGAAGTTGTGAATAAGTCAACCGTTTTCTTAAAATGTCTAAATTTCTTCATCAAATTTAAAAGATAAAATAATTTTGCTGCATACAACAATCATTGTTGAAAGAAGAAAAGACTGCCTTGGATCTTAGTATTTGTAGACCTTTGAACATTTGGAATTCTAAGGCAACGAAGGCTTTTTGAAGTTGATTTGGTGTTATAACATTGTTGTGTGCATACAGGAACCATGGGCAGAGTGTTACGATGTAGTATGGTTTTCCAAGTTTGTGGAAAGTAGCAGTAGAGCCAATTTGGAGGAAGTAGGCTGCTGGAGTAGGGACCTGGGCATCACTTCCTATTTAAGGCTGTTTCCTGATCCATGTGTTCCCCAAACTGGACAATACCCTCAAACCACTGGCCAAAATAAATCAATCCCTGTAAAAAACAAAACTCCATGCTTTCATAGCTCTAACAGTTTGTGTTAAGAAGCCTGACAATATTCTGTTACATGCCTACATGTATCAGTGTTTTATTACTTGGATCCTTTTTATTTTAACCTTTTTATTTAAATTAGAAACAAGCTTGCTTCACATGTCAATCCCAGCTCCTCACTTCCCTCTTCCCATCCCCACCCACCCAATCCCCACTCCTCTCCGGGGGGGGGGGAGAGATCTCCAAAATCAGTCATACAATCTAGGGCAGGGCCTAGGCCCTCCCCGATGTGTCCAAGCTGAGAGAGCATTCCTCCATGTGGTATGGGCTCCCAAAGTCCATTTGGATGCCAGGGATAAATACTGATCTACTGCCCAAGCCCCAAAGAACACCAAGACCTCCTCACTGACACCCACGTTCAGGGGGTCTGGATCAGTCCTATGCTGGCCTCTCAGCCATCAGTAGGGGGTCCAAGAGCTCCCCATTATTCAGGTCAGCTGTTTCTGTGGGTTTCACCAGCCCAGTCTTGACCCCTTTGCTCATCGCTAAATGTGCCACGGCTAGCTTCTTCTCCAGCCACACCTATTTAGGATTTGAAATGACTCTCCTCTTTTGTTTAAATTTGAAGTTTTCTGCTATAATTTCATGAATGGATTTCTGTGCTTTAGCTTTCTTTTCTCAGTTCCTTTGGTCTTTCTCAACAGCTTAGGTCTGGTGTCTTTGTCATGTCCCTCAGTTCCTGGAAGCTCCAATCACACTTGTCCTAGTCTCCTTTCTTGTTGCTGTGACAAATACCATGACCAACAACAACCGGGAAGGAGAAAGTTTATTTGACTTACACTTTCAGGTCACAGTCTGTCTTTGATGGGGGTGAGGGAAGGAACCAAAGCTGAAACCAAGCATGGAAGGATGCTGTTTAATGGCCCATTCTAAGGCTTATCACTTTTTTAAATCTGAGATTATAATGACATCACTTCCCCCTTACCTTTCCTCCCTCTAACCCCTTCCATGCACACCCCCACCAAAAAAATCCATGGCCTCTTTTTCTTTGTTGTTGTTGCTGGTGTCTGTGTTGCTAATTATGTAAGTACAACTTGCTCAGCCTGTACACTGTTACTGGATAACTAATCTGTATGATCTTCCCTGGGGAAGACTGCTTCTCCCACTCTTGGCGTTCGCCGGTGGTCTGTGGTTCTGGGACAGTGCCCGTTCTTACATAGGAGTTATGCTCTTTCTGCAGCCACATTGCTTTGCTGGTTCCCGTTTCTTATGTTTCTGTGTATCAATGTGCACATCCACTGGTCTGGATACTTCCTCGTTTTCTTTCAGTATCTTCTCAGTGAGCAACACATTCTCAAGAGTTCATTCCCCAGTGCCACTTAAAATGACTCAAAGTCCACTCCTACACTTCAATTGACTATAGGGCAGAAACTGCAAACATGAGGGAGAATATACTATCAAGTTAAAAAGTACTTTGGGTAAATACAGAAATAGAAAATGAATGAAATTAAGGAAGGGAGTGGATGGAGGTGGAAAACAGAGAAGGATGCTTAACTAAAAGGAAGAAAGGCCAGGCACGGTTACACAGGTCCTGAATCACAACACTCAGGAGGCACAGGCAAGCTGATCTATGTAAATTCAGGGTTACCCTGGCCTACACAGAAAGTTACATGCCAGTCAGGGCTACATTAACATAGTGAGATCCTGTCTCAAAAGAAAGAAAAAAAGGGGGAGGGGGGAATGCTGTGAAGAGAAAGGGTTAGGGTTAATAGCAAGAGAACATTACCAATAAGGAGAAAATTCATAACCAAAAAAAGAATCTTTTAAATGTAAAGGAAATTAAAGCCTTGTGCAGGGGCCATGCTACGCTTCTCTGTATCATTCCAATATCGGTGTATGTGCTGCCAAAACGAGTCTGCCGTGGTGTTAGTGACTGCGGACTCACAGCTGAGAAAGAGGCACAGAAGGCTTCTATGACAATCTATACTCATACCTCCCACCCCCACCAATTTAACAGCCTGACAGAAAGGCATCGAAGAGAACTCCTAAACACTGTGATAATGATGCTGAAATGCAGCTCTTTACAATTGATGGCCTCTGGCAGGGGTGCAGGTGGGGAAGGACTCAGTTTTCTTTAGGGTCTGGCCACTAGAAGTTTGACCATGCTGCGCTGAATATACAGGCAACACAAACTGAACCCCCCTCTGCTCCTTTTTGGGGGTGAGGAGGCAAACACAAACACACACATAAACACAATTAAAGATAAATCTTTTTAAAAAAGAAACAAAGGGAAACACCAAGCAAAGAGGTTTTTCTTTTTTTGTTTTTTGTTTTGCTGTGTTTTTCGAGACAGAGTCTTTCTGTGTGTAGCCCTGGCTGTCCTGAAACTCTCTCTGTAGACCAGGCTGGCCTTGAACTCACAGAGATCCGCCTGTGCTGAGAATAAAGGCATGTGCACCCCAAGAGCTTTTTTCTTAAGCAGTCCTATATAAAGTCATATATGGAACAAAGTTGTTCTAAAAGAGTCTGTATGTGTAAGTCTGAGTCTGCCGTCCCCCTTCTGCTCAGTTTTCAATCTGTAACATTTATCATTCCATGTGGAAATTTAGAAACAAGCATTCTTGTAAAAATTTTGAAAACAGAGTTCACAGAGAGTCAAGGTTATATGGGTGTTAGTTATCCAGTACCTTCTGAAAACTTCATCAAGAACACTGGAGTCCTTTGCATAGCTTTTTTGAGGGAGCATCTTAGATCAGGAAAGCCTACAGCCCTGATGAATCCTATCCCCAAACAGCTTTGCAAGAGACAAGAACTCTAAGACATTTTCCATTCAGAGTTACAAAGCCTGTGTTCAGAAACATAAAGCACTCCCTAAATTAAAAACAAACAGCAGGCGGTAGTGGTGCGCGCCTTTAGTCCCAGCACTCAGGAGGCAGAGGCAGGCAGATCTCTGTGAGTGAATTTTAGGACAGCCAGGGCTACAGAGTAAAACCCTGTCTTCAAACAACAAACAAAAACCTGCAAGTCCCTTTAGCACGCTCAGATTTCTGAGGTTACCACTGTCTTTTGGAGCTCACTCACCCATCCACTGACCTGACAACCTTGCCACAGGGTAACGATTCACCCTAAAGTCAAACGTGCTTTAGAATTCACTATAAAGATTCAACAGTGTACCTCACTTCACCTTCTCACTCTTGAAACTAAAAGGTCTAACTCCTTCAAGTTGTCAATTATCAAAGCACGGAGAGTGGAGGGTCCCCAGGGAGCCTCTTTCAGCAAAGAGTAAGAAGTCACACAGAACTAAGAGCTACGGTGTGACCAGAAGCCTTTGAAATCTAGATCTCACCAGCTGTTGAGCCACATCTCTTTGCAGAGTTGACTTGGTCACTGGCACTCGTGCCCATCCTTCATTCACCCCCTCAAATGCAACACCGAGGACCAGCAAAAAAGAAATCATGAATCCCAACTAGATTCGTTGGTTCCAGGCAGAGTCCCTGAGCCAAAGTTCCACCATAGCCCAGAAACTTCCCTAATTCTTTGGATTGATGCTTCTGAAAATGGAGTTTGACCCTGGTACCCACAAGAGAGAAGTGACTTCTGTAAGTTGCCCTCTGATCTCTACACATGAATATACACAGGCGCATGTGGGCAACAAGAGAATAAACGTTTTAAAATTCAGATGTATTTATTTTATGTATAAGAATGTTTTGTCTGTGCCTCAGAGGTAAGAAGAGGATATCACGTGCCCTAGAACTGGAATTACAGTCAATTATAAACTACCATGTGGGGGCTAGGAATTTAACCTGGGTCCTTTGCAAGAGCAGCCAGCAGCAGCACTCTTAACTGATGAACCATCTCTCTAGCCCCCATGCTTCAAAATTTAAATGATGATGATGATAGGAGCGGAGTATGATGGCACAGGCCTTTATTTCCAGCACTTGAGAGGAAGAAGCAGGCAGATCACTGTGAGCTGCCCACACAGTGAGCTCCAGGCCATCCAGAGCTACGCAGTAAAACCCTTTCTTAAGAGGCAGAGAAAAAGGAGCCAGAAGAGAATCATACTTACCAATGATCTGAAGACTACTGCTTCCAGAACAGTAACGTAGCTAAAACAAAACTAACAAGGGGTGTGTGTGTGTGTGTGTCTGGCTGTCTGATTGCTCTGTAATTTTTTTTTTAGATTGAAGTTACAATGAGGTGCTGTCTACAGTTAAAAAAAGATTAAGATAGTAGTTCTGGGGATGGAAAAAGAGCTCAGCAGTTAAGAGTGCTGGCTGTTCTTCCAGAGGTCCTGGTTGAATTCTCAGCAACCACATGGTGGCTCACAACCACCTATAATGGGATCTGATACCCTCTTCTGTAATGCAGGCATCCATGCAAACAGAGTACTTGTACATAAAAATAAATAAGTAACTATTAAGGGGGGGGGGCGGGAAAGATAGCAGTTCTCACCTGGTGGAGGCCATGCCTTTAATCCCAGCATTTGGGAAGCAGAGGTGGATCTCTGTGAGTTCAAGGCTAGCCTGATCCATAGAGCCAGTTCCAGGATAGCCAGGATTATACAGAGAAAGCCTGTCTTCAAAAACAAATAAACAAAAAGGGGGGAGCAGTGGCTCTCAACCTTCCCAATGCTATAATCTTTAAATATAGTTCCTCGTGTTGTGGAGACCCTTAACCATAAAATTATTTTTGTTTCTACTTTATAACTGGAATTTTGCTACTGTTATGAATTATAATGGAAACCAGATGGGTGACCCAAAGGTTGAGAAAACTGAAGTGCAAAGAAAGCCAAAGTCCAGCAAAAACTTTAGAAGGAAAAAGCCCAAATGAGACAAGAACTAGCCATGTGTTATTTGCTTGTGCCAATTCTACAAAAGACAAAAGGTCAGCGTATGAGGTCACCCATAAACAGTTTCCTTCTAGAGTCAGAGAAGAATGTGCCACCACGAAATCTTGGTAGGTGCTAACACATCTAGGCTTCAGAAATAAGGTGGTATGAAGGAGGTGTTTCAAACCAACTGGAAACAGGCCTGCTTGGTAGGCAGAATCATGAAGTCTTGGACTGAGTGGATCTGCAGTTACATGACGGGATTTAGGAGCTAGGCCTCACTCTGGATCCTCTTTCTTCTTCATGCACTTTACAAAAGTCACGGTGTTCATCCATGGCTTCTATCATTTTGAAACCAAATACAATTCTGAAAGCAGAACCAAACTAGGGAAAGAGTTTGTGAGGCTATTTGTAAAATACAGTATTAAATCACATACGATCATGGTGGTCAGACCCTGACATGGTGGTTTCTGGAAAGTGAATAGTCCTGAATGGAGTGAATAGTACCTGGAAGCAAAGGTACTTTCAGCTGTGTGTAAAATCACTCGCCCCAACTAAGGAGAGAGATACATGCTATAGAGAAACTAATGTAAAACTGTATCTTTTTTCTTTAAGTGCTTTTATCACTGTTTATGTGTTTGTGAGTTACACACACAAGTATGTGTTGGGATGGGGTACAGAGGAACGCCACTGAGACATGATCTTTCATTTCAAATGTCTGGCCTGCTTGGGCACTGTGCTCCACGGATCTTCTTGTCTCAACCTCCCCAAGTGCTGAGATACCACGCCCGTGCCACCACTCAGTTTTTTACATGGGTGCTGAAGATCAAACGCAGGTCCTCGGGTTTGGCAAACACTTTACCAGCTGAGTCAACCCCTAGTCCCATAAAACTATTTTTCCCTAGATCTGACAAAGGTTATTCACATCTTGGAAACAGGACACAGCTCTGGGTTAGCTCACAGGGCATCATATGATGGTCAATTCACAAAATAGAACATTTTCACCTCTACAGGACAACTTTGGGATAGTTCCAAGCACTACCTTATTAACTGAGGCAGGAAAAAAAAATTCTCAGAAAGTATCATTGTTTAAATACACTCTATTTTTATTTTGTCTTAAAATAGTTTAACCTTTATGCTACAGACTTATTTCAAAAAACAAAATCTTATCTTGCACCAAAAAAATATATATAACACTCTGTTTATTTTTTTTCTCCAAAGACCATTAAATACTAAATGGAAACAAAAACTAAATAATGGTGTAAAGAACCAAATCTCGTTTTACAAACTTGAGTTGCACATTTGGAAAACATTACTTCTACGCAATGATTTGTCGTCACTGCATCAAGTCCGCACTCAGTCCCCAGCAACAGCAGATCTGTTAACTCCAAGTGCACTGGTTCCTAGCCATACAATGGCTGACAATTCATGTTCAAGGTAAGAAGAGCAAAAGATTCAGTGACCTTTGCACTCTTTAAAGAACAAAGCAACAACAAAAACATTTCCTAGCTTCCAGTGATTTTTTTTAAGATCACTACCCTTTGAAATTTGTTAGAGAATAAGTAGTGTTTTAAATAAAAAGAAAAAATACAACAGCATTGAACTAAAATACGTGATTATTTTAAACAAACAGTGCACAATCTGAGGAAGTTTGGTTAGGGTGCAACAGTTTTTATATACACATGGAAGTCACATCACACACATACGGGAGAGCAGAATTGGGGCTCAGCTCTTTGCCTTTAAAAAAAAAGAAAAAAGTCAAAACTAAAACAAAATTGTGCCCTAGGCTTTTGCAAGCCGCGTGACACAGAACAAAAAAGCAAGCAATGAATTCATCTTAAGTTACTCATGGTGTTAATCTGCTAACAGTCCATGAACAAATGACTACACTAGCAAAACAGGCAGGTCATGCTTGTAACTGTGCTGACTGACAAGCACATGCTATGGCTGTTCTCTTACCAGTGACAGCATCCAGTTAGTCTTTGCCAGTGATTTTCAACATCCTAACGCTGTGAGCCCGTAATACAGTTCTTCATGTTGTGCTGGTTCCCAACCATAAAACTATTTTCATTGCTACTTCATAACTGTAATTTTGCTACTGTTATGAGCTGTAACGTAAATATCTGATATACAGATGGTCTTAGGAGGCCCCTGTGAAAGGGCATTCAATCCTCAAAGGGGTTGTGAACCACTGATCTATAAGAACAGACAGCTACAAAGAGCAGTAGTTGCCACACAGAGCTGCGACAGTGACAAACAACCAGGTTTCTGCTCCTCTGGTTTTCTCAAATTGGAGGGGAAGGGAAATTAACCACATTTGTGACATAAACCAATCTGTGATCCCACTGAATCCCTCAAACAATGACTTGGCAAAGCATAAACAACTACTTAGGTTACCAAATGTAAAACTTTAATTAGGAAACAATACTTTATTAGGAGAGTTATATGTCACAGAATTTGATTAACACCTTGCCAGAAACTACACTTCCACTCTCCTAGATGTAACAATAATGGGAGAGTCCAAACACCCTCTTAATTAATTATTAGATGGGAAAGTCCCATACTTCCTAGAGAGAGCCGACTGCTTCAAGCATCCCTTCACTCGTTGCATATTAATGCCTGAATCTCTGTTTTGATGCACCAAGTCAAGTAGTCAGGGACCTGTATCCGGAATAAGTATCTGTTTGTGCAACCTAAGATAAAGGCAAAGGGCCAGAAAAGAGTTTGGTTACAACTCCATTCTGTCGCCAATCCACAGTGCACCCAAAGTTAGGGGGATGGCTAATAGGAACTAAAAAACGGTCAGGGAAAAATCACCTGCTGTATAGACTTGAACAAAATGTTATCAACCTGAAAAAAAGTAATGCAAAAAACATTCTTTAAAATGGGGCTGCGCCCTGATACTAGGGGAGATATAAGCTGCGAAAACTTCAAGTCAAACACTCCACTATATTCTCTTACCATTGATTTTCTGGAAAACAAAGACCAGAAATTACGTCTCTCCTCTGTTGAGTATTTTAATTCAAGTAAAAAAAAAATGTGTAACAGTAAAACTCAATAAATTAATCCTAAAGCAAGATGTGAAGGTCCAAAGATACATCAGCAATGAATTTTCAAAGTCCTGTTTCACTCTGGCCTCTGGGTCTTTGGTTTCTGTCTAAGATTGTGGCCAGGTGAGAGCGATAAATGATGTTCTGAAACTGGAGAGTCATGATTTTTCAAGCCTAATTAGTAATAGACTGAAGAAAAAACTGTAAAGTTGATGAACAGAGGGCAGATCAAATGAATACTACAGAAAAGATTGAAGAACACATGCTCACATATATACCTACCAAAGGGATCTACCGAAGAACTGAAGTACCAAGAAGGAGAATAAAGGAATAATCTTGTCTTTGAGGAAGAAAAAAGAAAATGCCAGGCAGACTCATGCATGAGCATGCAGGCTGTGTCTTATTCCTCTCGGGGCCTCCACAGCATCCACCCTACACAGTGCTTTATGTAGAACAAATGGGTCTGGTCAATGTGTGCACTGAATGAAAATGGTAGGTCTCATCCTACGATCAGGAAGAGCCACCAAGGCATAATGAGGGAGCAAAAGGACACAGCAACACCGCATGTAACAAGCAAACAAAAACAAAACGTGAAGTCTTCTGAGACAATATTACTTCACTCCCCCCTGTTCACAATACATAGTATTCTAATTCTAGGTATTGCTTTTTTAAAATACTTTACTAGTAACTACAACATTATAGGAAAAAAGGTAGTAAGTAACTAATGCCACAAAATTCCTCTGCTGGCATTTCCTAAATTCCCTGAAGTGTCTATTATCCTTTACTAATCCTTTTAGATACTGTAAGACTTATAGTACTATCAATGTGCTTTGCATCTGATTTCTTATGGTCTATTTTCATTTCTCTTATGTATATATTTTAGAAGGCGAAGAAAACTACCCAAACACAACACGAGGTCCAGTTAAACAGTTGTCAAACACCCTCTATGGCGCAACCAGCTACAAAAGAAGGCACTTCCCTCTCAGATCTGCAAGTGCCTACAGACTTGGATGTCATACAGCCTCTTAAGTTCTTCCTACTCAAGTAACAGGTTTCCATGTTCCAGGGGAAAAGCTGAGAGATAGAGATTTCCCCACTGACCTCTCAATGCACTCTTCAGAAACTCTCAAAGAAGTATGAATTATTGCAACAAGGAGACCAACTGAATCCCCTTAATAGTATCTGGGAATAAAGGGGGGGGCGTCTCGATTATTTGTGTAATGGCAAGTTATAAGGAGCTATGTCAGGAAAGAAGGCAGAAGACGTAAGCTAAAGAAAAAATATATTTTATAATACTTCTGTCTTCCACTTTTAAGGAAGGGTATTCTAAATGCACATGCCCTACCAGGTGCCAGCAAGGACCTGACTGATATGTGTGCAAATGCCCTAGGGTAGGAGTGACAGTGAGGCAGACAGAGGGTGGTCACATCTAGATATTAATTTCATTATACAGAAAAATAAATATAAGATTCAAAACCTGAAATCCATTTTGACTAGTAAGTAAAATATTATTCTAAATGGAGGATGACTTTTTAAGATAAGTCACCAAGCAAAATGAAGTTGTCTAATAAAATCCACCATTCTCATATTCTTATTGAGGAAAAGAAAAAAATTATTTTCTCTGTGATAAGTTATTTTCCTAAGTGAATATTTTAATAAAAAGGGGGGGGGAGGTTACCATGAATTTCAATTCCACAAATGCCACAAACAGCTTCTGAAGCTGAAGCTATGACAATGAACTTCCATGTCAAAAGAGGAGGAAGTGGGAGGGAACAGTGCAGAGAAACAGTGACATTGCATTACAGTAGGTATTTACGTCTGCTATCCTCATCCAAGGTAAGGTCAACAACTTCTGCTGGTGAGGCCCAAGTCTGCTGGGGAGTCACAGCAGTCCATGACTGTGTTTGCCGGGAGCCAACATACTGCGTGCCAGAGCCATGCTTCCAGGAAGAAACACTCTGTATCACACCTCCTCGGGGGTGAACACACCTGCAATTGTGTGAAGAATAAAGTCCAGTTAATCTTACCATTAGAAAACTATGAGATAATGTGGCTTCAGTTGTACTCTTCAACACTTTACCAATCCTATTATGCAAGTTTATTTTAAAAGCCAAGGGCTCAAGTCAACTCAGTCACTGACAACAGGGAAGATGCTTTTCTTTGGACTCACCGATTTCTAGGATAGAAATGAACAATCTTAGTTGAAACAAGAAAAATCTGCATTTAAAATAAGTTTTGTAGCACAATTAAATAACCATGCTAAAAATAGTGAAGATAGGCCAGGTGGTGGTGGTGGTGTATATCTTTAATCCCAGCACTTGGGAGGCAGAGGCATCTCTATGAGTTCAAGGCCAGTCTAGTGAGTTCCAGGACAGGCTCCAAAAGCTACAAAGAGAAATCTCATCTCAATCACCTCTCCCCATGCCCCGCCAAAAAAAAAAAGTGAAGACAGGGGGCTGGAGAGATGGCTCAGTGGTTAAGAGTATTGGCTGCTCTTCCAGAGGACCCAGGTTCAATTCCCAGCACCCACATGGCAGCTCAAGACTCTGTAACTCTAGTTCCAGGGGTTCTAACACACACACAAACAAAACACCAATGCGCATAAAATGAAAGATAAAATTTAAAAGTAGGGGCTGGAGAGATGGCTCAGAGGGGCTGGAGAGATGGCTCAGAGGTTAAGAGCACTGACTGCTCTTCCAGAGGTCCTGAGTTCAATTCCCAGCAACCACATGGTGGCTGACAACCATCTATAATTGAATCTGGTGTATATATAAAAAATAAATAAATCTTTAAAGAAAAAATTTTTAAGTAGTGAAAATAATGCTATTTTATGTTCCCATACATTTTCTACACCTTGCACAAAAGATCTGAATTGTCTCACTGCGTCTCAGCGAGAGGAACAGGGCTGAAGCACACAGGAGGGAAGAACTATACCATTAACGAGTCACATGAGCTCACCAGGAGAAAACGGGTTCACACACAACAGCAGCTTGAATTTCATGTTCCAGCCAAACGATAAACCAGAGCCCCTGAAGGAAGCACTAAGAAGTCCTGACTCAAATGAGAGGAAGACAAAAGGCTCGAGCTATGACCCCACATCTAAAATCATTGATTGTACCCATGTAGCTCATGTGTGAAATAACAAGTGGCATGGGTTTTGGTAGCCTGACAACCAGAGCTCAGTCATCAACACAGTTATTCTCTGAATACTACATGCTCGCTCACCATGACATGAGTGTATCCATCACGTTATCACACACATAATAACGGTTGGAAACACAACTGCTTTTAAACCATACACTGCCCAAAAGACTATCTACCTGTTCTTTTAAACAGGTCTGCTGACAATTAAGAGAACTATGGAAGAACAGAGCCACTGGGGCCAAGGCACAGGGCAAATACAGTTTCTGTTTCTGTTTTAGTTGGTTGGTTGTTTTCAGTTTTGTTTTATTTGGGTTTTGAGACAAGGCTTTGCTATGTATCCCAGTTTAGCCTTAAACTGACTAGGTATCACAAGATGGCCTTGAACTCACACTAATCCACCTACCTTGTCACCCTGAATGCTAGAATTACAGGTATGGGCATCACACCTGGCTCAGAACACAGATTTCCCAAGTACCAGAAACAGAAAATCTGTTCAGAAATGGGCCAAGGCGACACGAAGCCAGAGGCTACAATATTTTCAAAGACTAGCTAGTCAAGGTATTAAAATAAGGAACCCACACCACAATCTATAATCCCAAGCCTTACAGTCTGTTAAGTAAACACAGACTGGGTAACTATGAAGTGGAGCATTTACAGAAATTGCTTATGGGATACTTATGCTTATGTTACCTGCTTATGTTACCTCACCAGACAATTCCAAAAACCTTATGAGATTGAATGAAAGTCATTACCCATGGTCTACAGATCGAGATAGGTGACAGGATTTACCTGGTCATAGTACTCTTAATTGTCAGGTCAAGGAACTTTGAAACAAGTCTACTTTAAATTGTTATAGGTAAAATGAACCATCTTAAAGTATGAAGTTCTCTAAAAGTTCAAAAGCTCATTTACACAAGCATTCTATTTTAAGTAAAGCTACCTAGAGAATTAGTAAGAATTCAGGAACTAAGTAGCCACCAAGGCAGTCAATGTAATCTTTGCAGAATTTCTGCAATATCTAAACTAAGGGATATAAAGTCCCATTGTTACTCTTCCAAAGGAATTATGGTCAGTGGTTTAAAGGGATCTAATCTAATCCGTATTTTACAGAAGAGAAGAACCAAGGATGAAACGCAACGTAAGTATAGAACTAAAGCAAAATCTCATCTCCAGTCAGGTTTACTATCCTCTAAGTCACTATGCCTTCCTCAAATGACAGCTGAAATACTACTCTGTTTGATCCACAGGACTGCTGCCTGGTCTCAGGGGTATTTGTTAAACATCAAAACAGATTCTAGAAAAGTATCTGGTGTAGGAGCAGGGAGTGAGAGTGAGAGGTTTAAAGTCTGCATTTCCTACTGAAGAGTGAACAGTCAAAGAGGACGGGAGATGATTACATATTTAACTAAATGATCTCTTCTGTATTGTGTTACAAGCAATTCTAATCACCGTAAGTGAAAGGGATGATTAGGACACAGGAACACCTGAAAGACCTAAGGATAAGAACGGGCCCGGACCACCTGGGTCAGTCTAAAATTTTAAATCCCCTTGATGATATGATGGCCACACCTCTCTGGTCCAGAGTTTTTCTGGCTCTAGAAAGCTGTAGCCAGGTGGGTAGCTCCCAAAGAGAACTGCCACAAACTGCACAGTCCCATGAAAGGTGCCTGGGGGACTAAAAGGGCTTATTGCTCTTGCAGAGGCCCTGAGTTCAGTTCCTAGCACCCACCTTTGGTGACTCACAACCACCTCTCCAGCTTCAGGGGATCTGACACCTCTGGGCTCTGATGGCACCTGCACTCATGTGCCCACACCTCCACACAATTAAAAAAAATACACTTTTTTTAAGAGTCAAGCTGGGCACCTCTGAGAATTACAGAAGGTGGTAACATGATCTCCAGGGTCATCAGTGACTAGGATTTGTTGGAAGTCAGGTTCAAAGTCACTGGGAGAATGGCCTGGGGAAGTTAATAGTATTCAGGCATCTGTACTGGCCTGTCCTTGGGAATTCTCACAGGATATGCCTTCAGCTGCAGCCACTAAGAGCACCACCTGCACACACTCACTACGTTCCCTTTTAAAATGGTCCTGCCCACCTCCCATGCTCGCTCTCTCTCTCTCCCCCCTCCCTCCCTCTCCCTCTCTCCATCTCCCCGTCTCCCTATCTCTCTTCCCCCCTCTTCCTCTCTCCTCTCCCTTTTTATGATCTCTTCCCCTAATAATCCCCCCCCCATTTAGGCTCTGTCGCATCTTTCTCTTTCTTGCCCAGAAGTCAAGACTACCGAGTGCGGCCACAAGAGAATGCCTGCCTGTGCTCTGATTTGTGTGCTGGCTACTTAAAAATGAACACTTTCCAAAAATTAAGGTATACATTATGACTTGTTTGGTGTGTTATAAGCAGTAAAGCATTCATTTTTTTTCATTGTTTAATTACCTAGAACATTTAAATAGAATGAGATCCAGGAAATGAATGAAACAGTGGTTTTTTTTCTTCCTTACAGTGAAAACACAGCCCAATACATGTTTGTTTTGCTTTTTTGAGTACAGAAAAATAACTTGGGGGGGGCAGAGGTTAATGTATGTGTTCATATGGATCCTTGCACAAGCGTGTATGTGTGTGGCATATGCACCCATTTTATATGTACACACCTACATGTGGAGGCCTACAGAAAACTTCAGCAGTCTTCCTTGATCGCTTCTTTTTTCCCCCTGAGACACTTGAACCTGAGGCTCATCAATCCATCTAGACTAGCTGGCCAAGGGGCCTTAAGGCTCTGCCAGCACTGGGGTTACAGTGCCCTAAGTGCTACGGATCAGAAATCAGGTCCTCAGGCTTCATGCCACAAGCACTTTACCAACAGAGTCACTTTTTTAAAGTGTACAAAACAGGATGGTGTTGGAGAAATGTTTCAATTACTTTGTAAAATAGGATACGGTAGAGAAATATAATTTATAACAACAGGTATGGAATTTCTACAATGGTTTTTATAAGCCACACAGAGTTGTTCTTGAGGCATCAAAATGAAAACAAAACAATTTTCATAGTTAACCCATATGCTTTCCTGTATTATGAAAGGCATGGGGTAGGGAACATATTTAGCTGAGTTTTAATTGGCCCAGCCCCAAACTAGAGCAGATACAGGCTACATACTATCTGCATAGGACCAGCAATGAAATCAAAAAACCTAGGGACACATTTTGAAGGAGTTTTTGTTTCTGTTTTGATAAGGTCTCACTATGTAGCCCAGGCTAACTTCCAGCCTGCTATTCATCTGCCTCAGCTCTCAAATACTGCTTAGTATGGCTATCTGCTTAGTTGGGCATATATAGCACTATGCCTAGCTTATTCTTAATTTTATAATTTTTTAAAAATATCTAGACCTCATTCTCAAAAATATTAGAAAAATATAAACAAAATCTGATAGGATTTCTTTTTTTTTTTTGGTTTTTACGAGACAGGGTTTCTCTGTATTGTTTTGGAGGCTATCGGTCCAGCCTGGCCTCGAACTCACAGAGATCCGCCTGCCTCTGCCTCCCGAGTGCTGGGATTAAAGGCGTGCGCCCCCAACGCCCGGCCCTGATAGGATTTCTTATTCATCATATACTGAAACTTCACAGAGGCAATTTCCTTACAATATAGAAATTTTTGACATGACTTACTATTCTAAGAGAATAATATTAAAGACTCATCATTTTTGCCCTCACTTACACAGCCTGAAGGTGACCACTTAAGCATCTAGCTATTTTTTCTAAATGAAAACAAAATGCATCCTTGTTATTTTAGGGAGATGCTGGTTTCCTCCCCTGTTCCTTTTTAATATTGATGTTAACAACTGGGTCCATGAAACAGTCTGAAATGCAATGATTCTTCTGCAATTCCCTTGCTGAGTATTAAAACAACATTATGCAAAATGTTAGGAGTCTTATTCACTAAAGTCTCAGAAGAGGTTATTGAAGGACCATCAGTTCTATACCCACAGAGCACTACAGGCAGTAACCTACCTATCTAGGAAGAAAAGGGGAAAAGACCAAAGACAAAGGAAAACATTGGCATGAGGGTCACATACCAAGACTTAAATAGACGCAGAAGAGCTAGGGACCCAGCAAGTCTGCATCTTACTAGCATGGAACATACTGTGGAAGTGAACTGCCCCCAAAGGAATATCTGGAAATGGTAATAAATTCAAATAATGCCAGGAGCTCACCACAACAGTACAAGGTCACCATAAACAGTGCATTTAACCTTTAGTTCAGAGAGCATACTCCAGATCAAATCCTGAAGTTAGGAAGAGTATACTGGAGATGGTACCTATACACATATGAGTTAGGGCTAAGAAGACTCTGAGACTTTAAATCAAAAGTCTTTAGTGATAAAACTAGTCCTAGACACCATAATGTTGGGGGGGGGGGTGCCAGGGGTAGAAAGAAAGCTCAGCAGTTAAGAGCAGTTGTTGCTCTTGAAGAGGATCCAGGTTCAATTCCCACCCTCTATGTGGTAGTTTACAACTACCCCTTATTCCAGTTCTAGGGAATCTGTCAGACCTCTGCAGGCACCAAGTATGAATGTGTTACACATGTATACATGCTGTCAGAACACTCACAGATACAATAAAATGAATAAATTTTTTAAAAAATTTCATCATGGAGCTAAAAAGTTCATGATGAAAGAAAGTTGAGCAAAGAAGCTAAAAAGAAAGGCATGCCACATCTCTAGGCATAAGGAAACAATAAAGAAGGAAGACGTGACAGGAATATAGAAAACCAGAACAAGGATGTGCTTTGGCCAAACAAAAGACAATCTAACCATGTCAATCTGTCAATAGGGTATCCCTGTAGACAGTCTAACCATGTCAATCTGCCAATAGGGTGTTACTGTAGACAATCTAACCATGTCAATCTGCCAATAGGGTGTCACTGTAGACAATCTAACCATGTCAATCTGTCAATAGGTGTCACTGTAGACAATCTAACCATGTCAATCTGTCAATAGGGTGTCACTGTAGACAATCTAACCATGTCAATCTGCCAATAGGGTATCCCTGTAGACAATCTAACCATGTCAATCTGCCAATAGGGTATCCCTGTAGACAATCTAACCATGTCAATCTGCCAATAGGTGTCACTGTAGACAATCTAACCATGTCAATCTGCCAATAGGTATCACTGTAGACAGTCTAACCATGTCAATCTGTCAATAGATGTCACTGTAGACAATCTAACCAAATCAATCTGCCAATAGGGTGTCACTGTAGGAAAAATCCAGAAAGATCCTAATACAGGACTTAAAAGGACAGTGTCTTCTAAGAAACAATGTAAGGAATGAAACAATGGCAAAAACATGTTAAAACCAAGGAAAGAAAAATCAGTAGTTCTTTCTTCCTCATCTGATAGGAGAGTCGGATTAAAAAGAAAAGGTTAAAAAAGTTAGAGAATTTATGAGGAAAAGGTTTTTTGTTAAGTCAGGAAAAGAAGAAATGATAAAGATCAGAGGAGAAAACTCATCTCCTACAAACAGGGAAAGCAACCATAAAAATAGAAATGAGAAAAGGAAGCTACACAGGCACACTTCTGGCAGAGGCACTGACTGGTGATACCCAAGACAACACTAACTTCCATGAGGCAGAGTTGCCACTCCTGAGTTAACTCAGTATTCTTAAATTCATTGGTTTAGCTGAAAAACCCCTGCAGAAAGGATGACAAAACCCTACTAGGTACCTCAGTTCAGACACATCTGTATGTCACTGCAGTCTAAACTCCTCTAGGTTCATTCTTTATTTATTTTATGTATGAGTGCTCCATCTACATGTATACCTTTAAGCCAAAAGAGGACATTGGAACCCACTAGAGATGGTTGTGAGCCATCATGTGGTTGCTGGGAATCTAACTCAGGACCTCTGAAAGAGCAGCCGGAGCTCTTAAGGGCTGAGCCATCTCTCCAGGCCCAATCTACCATTTTCCTATCACTCATTTGATTTAAATAGAGTCACAATTCTAAGTATCAGAGTAACCCCAATTACTGGCCTACCTTGCATGCTCCTGAACACCCACAATCTCCACTTCACTATCTGAAGAGGCAATATTAATTTCTTCATTAAGTGGTGCATTGCCAACAGATGTTTTGTCACTTGCTAGGAATCCTGGATCCAAATGACCTGAGAGAAGGAGAGAAAAATAAGCAATACAGTTTTATTTCTTTAGACAGTAACAATTCATTGACAGACCACTCATCTAGATTTAAGTAACTCTATTCAAGCTCTATCAGTCACAGCAAAACTGTTACCAATGTCAAGTAAACAGGGCACAACTGTTGCTTTTTGTTTTTTCCCTTTTTCATGTATGTGCACATGTGTGTCATTGTGCATGTGTTTATGTATGTGTGGTACACACAGATTTTTTTTTTGCAGGTGTGTAGCATGTATGTGGAGATACAAGGTTGATATCAGGAATCATCTTCCATCCCTCTTCAACTATATTGACTCAAACAGGCCCAACCCAGAGCTTCCTGATATGGCCAGTCTTTTTTCTTTCTTTCTTTCTTTCTTTCTTTCTTTTTTTTTTTTTTTTTTGATTTTTCGAGACAGGCTTTCTCTGTATTGCTTTGGAGGTTGTTTGGAACTCACTCTGTAGACCAGGCTGGCCTCGAACTCACAGAGATCCGCCTACCTCTGCCTCCTGAGTGTTGGGATTAAAGGCGTGCACCACCACCGCCTGGCGATATGGCCAGTCTTAACAGCCAGCTTGTCTCCACTTTCAAGCTGGAATTATAGGCGAGCTGACATGCCCCCCTGGCATTTGCATGGGTTTCCGAATTCCATTCCTCACAATTGCATGGTAAGCACTTTAACCACTGAGCCATCTTCCAAGATGCTCTGCCATTTGAAAACAAACAAGCAAGCAAACTAGCTTTTAAAAGAAATATAAAGGGCTGGAGAGATAGCTCAGCAGTTAATGTTAAGAGCATGTGCAGCTCTTCCAGAGGACCCAAGTTCAGTTCCCAGCACCCATAGCAGCTCACAGCAGCCTGTAACTCTAGCTCCAAGGGATCTGACACCCTCCTCTGGCCTCTATGGGCACCTGCATTCATATACGCATACCCCCACACACATATGCACATAATTAAAAAAGAAATATACCATATGGACATGGCATGTATCTACGCAGCACATCAGGACTTTCGAGTAAAAGCCTCCTATTCTATACTTCTGTCTCTTAGGAAATAAACTAAATACTTTGATTAGCACGCTACCTAAATATATTTATACATAAACTATACAGCACTCTATATTTTATTCTGTAGTGCTTTCTGCATTCAACTCTAGTCTACTATTAACGACCTGCATAACCAACTAAAGGTCATTGGGATAGCTCTCTACTGCTTATCATCATAGAACAAAATTTTAAAGCAGAAATCTGCAAAGGCAGAGGCAGAATAAAATTAACCATTCATACTATGTTTACACCAAAATGCTTTCTGAAAGACTTAAACATGTTTTCTCTCTCAAGGAATAAGGATCTGGCAAAGTCTAATCCCAAAACCCATATTGAAGCAAAGACAAGAGGCAGATGGGCACACTGCTGACAACTCAATAGACATGAACCAGCCACCAGTTAGAAGGAAGCATAACCCAGTTCAGCGCACTGAGACACAAGGACTTCTTCACGGGCATCTTCATAAACTGTTCATTACATGATACAATGAAATGTCTCCAATGTCACAGTGCGCTTGACTGTCACAGACCTGACAAAAAGGGCACTAGCACAACATCAAATCAAAACATATGTCTCTAAAGGCAATCCAAATACAAGTGAAACAATTCAGCTATGTGTCTCACTATTAAATATACAACCTTAAATGAATTTTAAATTCCTACATGGCCAGGAATCAAGTTCAGTGGTAAAAGTATTCAATCACCAGGCACACAATGAAAGGAGGAAATAGACTCCCAAAAGTTATCCCTTGGCCTACACACACCCACTCAAACAATTTTTAATTAAAAATTAATTTCTACAAATTAACAGAGTTGCAGTCAACATAAATTTTCATTTACACTTTAAAAGATATTTGCATTTAAATATGTTGTCTTCTAATACAAATTTTTCCTTATACTTATCAAAAATGTTTATGAAACCTCATACAAATGAGACCAATGAAAGGAAAAGTTTACAGACACAGATCAGCTTTCCTCTCCTGTCACCCGCTCCAATGCGCCAACATCCCTGAGAACTCTTGTATTTTTCACTCCTGTCTGCTTTTCACATAACCATTTTGGAAAAGCACAGGCAGCCCCAAATCTAAACTTCACAGTGTTTGCACCTCTACCCCTGAAAACTCACCTTGGAGAGTTCACCCCAGGAGGAAAAGACTTATATCAACTCAATGTTACAACAGTCAAAGATGGGCACTAGAGTGCTAACAAAAACCTGGGAAAGCATACACATAACATTTAAAGCATAATACATACTACTATATACTGTAGACAGTAAGAAAGCTGTAAAAGCAATAAGTCTGATAAGATTGTTAATGCTTAGTGTTTAATGCTATTTTTACCTATTTGGGGAAGTTTAAAATGGCTGAGTGTTGGTGAGATGGGTCCATGGGGAAAGCCACTTGTAGACAAGCCTGGCTACGAGTTTGATGCCCAGGACCCACATGGTGGAAGGAGAGAACCTATTCTCAAAGTTGCCTTCTAACCTCCACCTGAGTGCACTATGGCACATGTGTGCCTACATATATATAAATAATTCTTTAATGACTAGAAACAACTGGTGACTGAGACTACATTACAGTCGGCAACATGGTTTGGATTTCATGTGGTGGCCTTGGCAATGGCCACCAATCTTTGAAACCTACATGCACAAACATTCTCTACACAACACCCAGTTTGTTAACTCTGGGATGCTGTAGTACACATAGATAATTTTTCTGTCTAATACTTGCTGTGGTCAAGTGTTTCACCCATCTGTACCTTGATGCTTTAGTTACTGTTATCACTACACACACTACTACAGCTGCATAGTAGATCTCAAAAGATTTTACTGTTCATCTGGGTGTTCCTATAACAAGTATATTACCTGTAACATGGTATACATTATACTAGATGTTAGGAATACCACTAGACACAAGGCAAGCACTATTCTCAAAAAATCTGTAACACATTCAGTGATAGTAAAAAAGCAGCTCAAAGAATTGCTCCATGGGGAAGGTAGGGAACAGCCTGGACACATGAGTAATGGCACACATCTGTGATCCTAGCATCTGGAAGCCAGGCTGGGTTACATACCAAGTAGTGTGAGGAAACAAAATAGGCATATTCCCCAGACTTAAATTTGATCAGGGAAGCTGAGATCCCAGGGAAGACTGGGCACAAGTGAGGGGGGGAAAGTATCCTTAGGCTCTAAAAGTTTACTCAGAACTAGAATAGAAAAAGTAATGATGAACAATGCTGACAATATTGGCAGAGGTAAAATCGCAGCTTGGAGTCTGGACTTTGATCTTGAACAGTGAGAAACTACTGAAAGACCTTCAGGGTGACATAATTCGGTTTTGTATTTTAAAGACTTCCTTTGAAGTATAGAAATCAAACTGACAGCAGGGTCAGAAACTACTGGCAATGGAACTAGTTACACTGCTACACTTTCTGGAGAAGGTATAAAATGGGAAACTCATGTGATGTGGGGTCAGATAAACAAAAGAATGCAGGAAGTAAAAATGATGTTTGCTGATGATTTAGGCAATTTGAAGGAGACAATAAAGACTGATGATGGCTGCATACATAATTTCAGATCTCTAACAGATAGATGGAGGTGCTGTTCAAAACCTCTTTTGATTTAGAGATACAGACTGGATAAACCCTAACACCCCCGAAGAGGGATCAAGATGCTAGGGGAACATAGAGCAGAGCCCTGATGGCCACCATGAATTAAGAGATGTACAAAAACCACCAAAGACATAGTCAGGTAAGAAGTGAGGATAGGGGTATTATCCACTTGGAACCCCTCCCACTCTTGGGAGTTCTTTTTTGGTTTTTATTGATAAATCTCTGTTCAGTCTGGTGAAGGAAAAAAAGTGAAAATACATAGGAAGCTCTAGAAGCAACAACAAGATGACCTCAGAAAGCAAAGCCTTGGAAATGATGGGAACAAAAGAGCAAAAAAGCTGCAGGGAAACAAGAAGAGACAAACTGCAAAAGGTGGACTGTGGACAAAGGAAGTAAGACAGTGTTGAAAGAGTGGGAGGGATTTGAGGGGAAAGGCAAATGTAGATGTACCATTTTAAAAGATGAGGCAGATCAGGTTATAGTTAGGAGAAAAAAGGAAGCGACAGAGCCATGGCAGGCAGTTGGGATGATCTCTGGATGTGAACAGAGAAATGGGATAGAAAAGTACTGCAGTCATTCTGAGAAAAGAAACAAAACAAAACTCAAGGCAAGGACAGCCTGAGAATCAAGGTGAAATTGCTGATTAGGGAAATAAAGTGACCCTTAATCCAACTATGTACCTGTCTCCAGCTGGGTTTAGCAGTGTAGACATAGACTGACTAGATTATACCAGGTGAGTATAGCTAAGCCCTCAACTACACTCAACAGCTGAGGATACTAACCAAGAAGGCCTAGAGCCAGATCCAACAGGGGAAGGAACAGTAACAAAAGTACAGAAAAGCCCTCAGAGCAAAGCCAGAATGGCATCTGTGATCCCAGCCCTAGAAAGGCTGAGTCAGAAAGGATGCCACAACACTGTGAGGAAACAAACAAGGGCCCTGGTTGTGAAAGGAGAGACACTAGCCCTGCCCATGCCTGCTCTCTGGCCTCACCTCCACTCCTGCTCCATTGTTTGAGCCACCCACAGCTCTGCTGTCACTTTTCCACTGCCCTCTGGATGTCAGCTCAGGGTAAACTGTGCTGAACTTTCCTTCCACTTCCTTATGCAAACAGGGTTTCCTGAAAATGCTGCCTGCCCAAGCCCAGCTCCTAACCATGTCCTTCATCCTCCAATACCAGCAGCCTGTTTCTTCCAGGGAACTTTTTGACTCCTGACAGGTTCATTCATTCATGAATCATGATTGGAGTCTCTCTCCATCTCTCTTTCCACCTGTATGTCAGCTCTCAAATACTCATCTCTGTTCACAGCCACCTTAACATAGTGTCAACTCACT